GCCCCCGCCCGGGGATTGAGCCCACAACCCGGGCATGTGCCCTGACCGGGAATTGAACCATGACCTCCTGGTTCATAGGTCGACACTCAACCACTAACCTACACCAACCAAGAAAGATGCTTCCCGTTCTAGCAGCAGCAGCCACGCCACTCCTGTAGGGACAACCTCTAGCTCCCCAGCAGCCCCAGGAATGCCCACAGGGCGGGGGGGGGGGGGGGAGGGGGGGCCATCTATTTTATGCGCATGCACAGTGGGCTCCCGGAGCACCCCCCCAGCTGGAGAATGCGCCAACGGGATTCAGATCATGCTCTGGCCCGTGCAGACATGCTGGCCCTCCTCCGAAGCCCGAAGTGTTGGTAGCTGCCAGTTCTCGACTTTCTCACGCTCCTGGCCTGGGTGGTTCCCCGCTTGACATCAGCTTCGGCTGCAGACACCCACTCTAATGCCACCTCCCCCCGCCCCCCTGCACTCCAGGGCCACTGTCATGTCAGGGCGAGCAGCCATGTGAACAAGGGATAGGTGCTCTGGGGTGGAGCAGGGGACCTCAGGGAGGGAGGGTGAGGGCAGGTCCCCAGAGGGCAGCCCAGCCAATGCCTCACCAGAGGCCTGGACTCCGGGGTGACCGCTAGCCGACATCTGAGAGTGTTATTTTCTCTTAAACTGTGGTCTCTGACGTAACCATTCTCAGGTAGGGTCACCCACTTGTCTCTCTTTCTTCCCCAGGCAGATATATCCGAGAAGTACCTGTCCGCCTCGGAGTATGGGAGCTCTGTAGATGGCCACCCTGAGGTCCCCGAGACCAAAGATGGTACCCACGCTTATGGCTTTCAGCCCAGGGTGGGGAGGGGATGGTCCCCAGGCTGTGTGGCCCAACCCTAATGCGCTTTAACAGCTACTTCCAACATGCCTCCCCTTATAAACAGCTAACAGATCCAGGGAAAAGGGAGAGATGACCAAATGGAAGTTCCATGACTTGCTGTGGGTAGAATATTCTCTCATCCTCTTGTTGGCCCACCCTGTTATAAGGGTGTTGGAGCTCATGCAGTCTGTAGATGCCCAGGTGCTGGAACATTCCATGGGAGAAGCCGGGGTGCCCCTTTTGAGTGTTTGAATCTACAGACCCCTGGCTCTGAGCTGTGGATCTTGGTGTGGGGAGCAGGAGTCTGTATGTGTGCACATGCGTGCACACACGTGTGTGCAGGGAGGGGCAGCTGTGGTGGGGAGGGTCTTCTATTTTTCCCCATCTACTCTAGGGCCTGGGGCTAAGCCGTGTGTGATGCTGATGGCTTTTTCTCTCATCTCGACAGTGAAGAAGAAGTGCTCTGCGGGCCTCAAACTGAGCAACCTGATGAACCTGGGCAGGAAGAAGTCCACCTCGCTGGAGCCTGCAGACAGGTCCCTGGAGACAGCCTGTAAGAAGCGCAGCGCCTCCTGGGCCGCAGGGCTTGACCCCTGGGCTGCAGCCCGTCTCCAGGAAGGCAGCTCAGACAGCGAAGGCAGGGGCTATAGGTCTCGCTTTAAACGTGTCTTAGGGATGGGGAGCCGTGGCCCAGTTACCGTCTCTCTTCACTGCAGGTAGTTCTTCTTTATGTCTGGCCAGACTCTCTCACTGCAGTGTGGATCTTTTGCGGAAGTGAAGGGTAATGGATTGCTGTCCTCCTAATGGTCTGGGAAAACATATTCGTTTGATCGATACTTAAGGAGCTTGGCAGGCACAGTGTTACGGAGAGGGAACCAAGCGGATGGAGGACACAGTACTGGGAGCTTAGAGCTCAAGAGAGATGACAGCTTTGCCCCCATCGCCACATACCTGCTGGCTGAGCAGCTGTCAGGACTCAGGGACAGAAAAAACCTTTCCAGCTCTGGACAGAGATGGATTCCTCAACCGGAGTCTTGACGAACAGGCAGGAGCTATGTAGGCTCGGAGGTACCCGGGGTGGGAGCCAAGACAGACTCAGACTGGTGAGACGCATTCAGGGGCCTGGCGGGCGAAAGCCCACGTCGCTGGGACAGAGGGCGTGTAGGGAGCTAGTAGACTCTTAGAGGTCACCTCCACTGCCCTTTCTCAGCCTGAGGAAACTGAGGTCAGGAGAGGGAGAGAGAGACCTTTCCCAGAATATACTTTGAGTGAGCCGAGTCCTGGTGTTCCACCGGGGCTCATTGCTATAGGGCAGTGATGGCAAACCTTTTGAGCTCGGCGTGTCAGCATTTTGAAAAACCCTAACTTAACTCTGGTGCTGTGTCACATATAGAAATTTTTTGATCTTTGCAACCATAGTAAAACAAAGACTTATATTTTTGATATTTATTTTATATATTTAAATGCCATTTAACAAAGAAAAATCAACCAAAAAAATGAGTTCCCGTGTCACCTCTGACACGCGTGTCATAGGTTCGCCATCACTGCTATAGGTCTCCCGGGACCTGAAGGCCATCACTGTCCATCTTCGAGCCCTTTCCTCTTACTCCTGGAACCCCTGTCCCAGCCTCAGGCCCACTCTGTTCTGTGTCTGAGGCTGGCCGGGTGGCCGGGGTGGAATGGGAAGGCAGCACAGGGGCCTCACCTTTGGAGCCTGCTGCTTCTCCTGCCAGGGCACCCGAGGCCTCAGGGCACAGTGTTGGGCACGGGAGCCTGGTCCCCGTGAGTCATTTTGGGAGATGTGGCTGGGTTACTCTGGAAGTTGCTCAGTTGGCAAAGCCTGCTCCTGTCCCCTGTGGCTGGGGAAGGGCCCGAGAGAGCACGGACACTCTCCTCCCCAGGCTCGGCCTCAGCGCTCGAGCCTCTCCTGACCCAGAGTTCTCTTCGGTGCAGGGAACTGTGAGGGGCCAGTGGGGTGCCTGCCCAGAGGAGCCAGAGATCCTAGGTCCTGGGCACAAATCCTCCCACTTTGCTACTGTGTCGTGGTGTTCATGTGGCTCTGAGAAATTCTTGATCCCCACTGTGTGGCCAGCACCAGGTGGGTGGGAAGGTGGCTGTGCACTTTGACCTTGCTGTGTGAGCCTCGTTCATCTGGCTGCGGTTCTGAACAGCTCTTAGGGGCAAAAAGGAACCCACTTGGTAAGCCAGCGGCACAGAGGGACGTCAACCCATTGCACAAGGGCGTGCAAAGGGCCTGCAGACTGGAGTCACTCATCTGTGCAGCCCAGGGACAAGGCCATGCTTGAAACGGGGTGTCAGCTCCCCACATGTTAATCTAAGCGGGGGGAGGCTTGTCCTCTTCTTGGGAAGCTGAACGGAACACATGGGCCCACTTGAGAGCAGTGAGGGCTGCCTCGTGAGTGGACCCTGGCAGCCTCTGGGTGCTGCCGGAAGAGGGGCTCCCTGGCGGAGGCCGCAGGGCACAGACCCAGCTGCCTGAGATGAACGTGCAAGTTCCTGGCCTGGAGAAGCTGTGAGTCCCGTTGGAGAGGCTGACACGGAAGCAGAGAGTGTCACTGTTCCAGACCCAGCTGTTCAGAAGGCTGACAGCAGGGCGCGCAGGGCCCAGGGAGGGCCGAGGCCAAGTGCATCTGGGAGGATGAGGAGGACTCTGCAGGCTGAGACTGAGTGACCCTGGGAGGGCAAGGCTGGCAGGGCCGCTGGGAAGCTAAGGCTGCAGAGGCAAAGGGCTTGCACCTGCAATGAGGAGACCCACCTGGGGCGAGCTTCCTGCACGTGGCCCGAGTGAGGAGAGGCAGAGGTGGGCTGCTGCAGGCTGGACACGTAGAGCCGCAGCGAGCCGCGAGGGCTGGGGCGGGGGATTCTGTCCCAGACACCTACATACTGACCTAGTGTAGTCCAAGGTGCAGCTCACTTCCCTCTGGACACACCTTTTCAAAAGCCAGCAGAGCTATGCTGCCTGACTTGAAAGGGTCTTGCTGCTAGCCTGCAGGAGGGAAGGAGAACATACGACAGAGATTCCCAGCCTCTGTGAGCTAAGAAGCTGCTCGGGCATTGGAGCTGAGACTCTGAGGGGAACCCCGGGAGGCCCGGAGGTGGGGGCAGCCACCCCCAGCTTCCTGCAGCCGCCGCCTCTCCTGCAGGTTACCTGAACGTGCTGGTGAACAGCCAGTGGAAGTCACGCTGGTGCTCCGTCCGGGACAGCCACCTGCACTTCTACCAGGACCGGAACCGCAGCAAGGTGGCCCAGCAGCCCCTGAGCCTGGTGGGCTGTGAGGTGGTCCCGGACCCGAGCCCGGACCACCTGTACTCCTTCCGCATCCTCCACAACGGCGAGGAGCTGGCCAAGCTCGAGGTACTGCTGGCCCCGGGGGTGGCGGGCGCAGCCAGGGCGGAGGTCGGCTCTGTGCTGCAAGTCATGGAGACGCCGTGTAGTCCTGGGTTGTTTTGGTTTCCTTTGCGTGAGATTGTTTGCATTTTTCAAAAATTTCCATTCCCTTTCTGACCTCAGGGTGGTTGTGTTCTAGGAGGACAATGAGCTGCTTCCTGCACTTAGGGCCGGAGGGGAATTTATAACTCCCTGAGCCGCAGGGGAACCTTCTGGAGATTCACAGTGGGTTTGGTGTAGTTTGTGTAGCACCAGATGCAGCCCAGTCCATAAACATGACGCCTGTTAGGGCTTATCTGGGGGCAAGCATCAGGCTGGTGATACAATTGCCTTTCTCCCACTCCCCACCCTGTTTAATGTGATGTCACATTGACAAAAATAAAAGGTGACATAATGCCTTGCGTTGAGCTAGGCAGGTCCCAGCCAGAGTTCTTGCTTCACACACAGAAGCACACCCTGCCCGGCTCGCTCCTGTTCACCTCGTCCAGCGGTTCTCAACCTGTGGGTCGAGACCCCTTTGGGGGTCGAATGACCCTTTCACAGGGGTCGCCTAAGACCATCGGAAAACACATATATAATTACATATTGTTTTTGTGATTAATCACTATGCTTTCATTATGTTCAGTTTGTAACAATGAAAATACATCCTGCATATCAGATATTTACATGACGATTCATAACAGTAGCAAAATTACAGTTAGGAAGTAGCAACGAAAATAATTTTATGGTTGGGGGTCACCACAACACGAGGAACTGTATTAAAGGGTCGCGGCATTCGGAACGTTGAGAACCACTGACCTAGTCCTTCAGCCAGGAGACTTCATCCAAATTTTGCTTCAATACTGCCCCCTTGTGGCTAAAAGATCCACATCTCAGTTGCTTCTCAGGGATAAGTTTGTATACATTCTGTCGGGTCAACAAGTATGATAACACGTGACCAAGACTGACATGCTCCCTGTGCTCATGGAACTTACATTCCAGTACGAGATGTTCTCCAGTCAGTTACCCAATTGGTTCCTCAGGCCAAGTCTTCCGAGGAAATGGGCCACTGGCTCGGCCTCCTGCTCTCCGAGTCGGGCTCCAAGACAGACCCAGAGGAATTCACCTACGACTACGTGGATGCAGACAGGGTCTCCTGTATTGTGAGTGCGGCCAAGAACTCCCTGCTGTGAGTAGTGCGGGTCTTCTGCGCCCTTGCACTCGGAGTCATGCTTCCAACTCCAGGCCCAGATTGGCCTCTGGTGGCCGAGAACTCGGGGTGGGCCCCGCTCCACCCAGCGGCAGGAGGGCCAGGGGCTGGGCCGGGCCCAGCAGCCGCAGCACCTTGGCTGGGGGAAGACCATCCAGGTCCTTACAGCTGAGTCGGCATGTTCCCTGACCCTCCGCTTCCCTCGCTGTCGACTCGGTGCTTTCCCGAGGACCCCCTCTGGGTCCCCAGCGCCCCCTGGATGAGCAGGGCGGAGGTGGTGCTTCCGCTTTCTAGATGAGCACATGGGCTCCTGGGCCGGGTGGCTGAGGAGGCACCAGGACACGGAACCCCTTTCTTATGTACAAGATGGGGAAAGTCTCCGGTTGTTGACAGTGAAATGAGGAGGGGTTTTGTTGTTATTGGAGATCCTAAAACGGGGTCAGAAGATGGCAAAAGGATGCCAAGGGGGGGAGGGGGAAGGGATGCTTTTCTGGAAGAGAAGTTTGGGACCCACAGTTCTATAGGAAGACCCAAAAGAGAGGGAGGGGCTGCCCTGAATGAGTGTTAAATGAGACCGGAGCTAGTCTCTTTATGAATTCTTTGAGGCTGGTGGCTTTTACCACCCTCCTCCCCCGTCTTGAATCCTCCTCCCCCGTCTTGAATCCTCCTCCCCGAATCTTGCCATGTGTCTTCCAGATTGATGCAGAGGAAGTTCTCAGAGCCCAACACTTACATCGACGGCCTGCCCAGCCAGGATCGCCCGGAGCTGCTGTATGATGACGTGGAGATGTCCGAGCTGACGGCCGCGGTAAGGACGCTGGGGGCAGCCGCAGGGGGGCTGTCCAGTCCTCCTGCCGCCAAACCTCAATCCCATTGGCCATAGGAGAAGTGGATTCCAAGTCACCTGCAGGGCCACCAGGGCAGAAATCTCGGCACAACAAGGTCGCCTTTTGTACTGGGGCGGGCAGTCCGCCTGGCATGGGGACTCGTCGGGTTGGCCATTCTGGTCAGTGCTAGGATGGGCTGTGCTGCTGGGATTGGGAGCCGCGTCCCCATCAATCAGCCTTTGGGGTCAAGAATGATAGTGAAGGTGGAATCATCGAATAGGCAGGAGGTTCCATGGTCAGACACTGGGCTCTGCTGTGCTAAGGGCTGCTGTGGCTGATCTATTTAATCCAAGCCACCTGCTAGGCAGGTACCATTACTCTCTCCTCTTACAGCTGAGGAATGAAGGTCAGGAAAGCTCGTACTATGTCCTGGGTCTCCCACCTCTTTAGGGGCTGATCCAGGGCTTGAACCCTGACCTTCTAACTCCAGATCAATAGAGGCTTCCCTGGGGGAAGGTCCCTGCGCACCCCACACAGGGAGGGGACGGGAGCTCTGAGACAGGACAGGCGCCAGCTCTCCAGCCCAGGCTGCGGAAGCAATGGTGAAAGCCACCTGCCTCTCCTCTGCAGGTGGACCCCGAGGAAGCCGCCCCGGCCACAGATGCTCTGAGCGAGCTCGACCCTGACCGCATGTACCTGGACCTCACGCCGGTCAAGTCCTTCCTGCACAGTCAGGGCGGCACCCAGGCCCGAGGCTGCTCCCCCACACCGCCCGGCCTGGACCCTCCAGTAGAGGCCCTCCCTGCAGACCTGGGCCCCGCCCCAGCTGAGCCCCCCGTCGTTACATCTGCAGAGACCCCTGAGTTGCAGGTACAGGTCATCCCCCAGCTGGTGGGCTGGTCCCACCTTCCCAGGCCCCTCAGCCGGCTGAGCTGTGCTCGCTTTCTCCAAAAGCAGGTGCAGCAGGAGAGTCTGGAGCCGGAGGAGCTGTCCCCCAGAATCTCGACGGTCAAAATCCAGGCTGAACAGCAAAAACTCTCTTTCTCATCGAGCTGCCCCGACGCTGTGGCTGTCACCCCAGCCGGGGCCAGCACGCCTGCGAAGGACAGGCTGAGGGTGACCTCTGCAGGTACCTGTGCTGGAGACGAGTTGCATGTCTTGGAAATGGCTCAGAGGAGTTAGCCCCATCCTTCCCCTTTGGTATGAGGACACAGAGGGTCGGCGAGGAGGAGGGACTTGCCCCAGGCCATGCAGTGGAGAAGGGGTGGTGCCCATTTCCCTTCCCGGTCCTGCAAGGCTGGCTTGGCGTCCAGCTCTGATTTCCTGTCAAAGCCTCAGTTTCCCCTGAGCCTGTGTGATGGGTTGGCCATAGCCCTCCTGGTCCAGCCTGGCTGACCTCGGTGTTCCCTCTCTGGGTTTGTAGAGATCAAACTTGGCAAGAACAGGACAGAAGCTGAGGTGAAGCGGTACACGGAGGAGAAGGAGAGGCTGGAGAAGAAGAAGGAAGAAATCCGGGGGCACCTGGCTCAGCTCCGGAAGGAGAAACGGGAGCTGAGGGAGACCCTGTCGAAATGCACAGGTGAGGGGCCTGGCAGGGCACGTGGAGGCTGGGGCTTCTCTCAGGGCGAGCCTGGACCTGGGCCCCTGGCCTATAGCCCTGCCAGTCTTTGCACAGGTGCATGTTCCCCATCTTAACCCCCCCCCATCTGAAAGGTCACTGTCCTATGCAGAGAGACCCCCTGACCCATTGTCAATAGGCCCAGGAGGTAGTTTTAAAAGCTCGCTCAAAGAATACGTCCTTAAACATTTTATTTTCACTTAAATCAAATGCATATACACCCAGTCCATCTTTCCATGCGTTGCCTTTTTCAGAGATCCCATGTCATCGTTCTTGCATTAACCACACGCATCATCCTTAATTTCCAGTCTTCAAAGACTTAGGACACTTGCAGAGAAATCTGCGTCCCTCTAGGTCAGTGGTTCTCAACCTTCCTAATGCCGTGACCCTTTAATACAGTTCCTCATGTTGTGGTGACCCCCAACCATAAAATTATTTTCGTTGCTACTTCATAACTGTAATTTTGCTACTGTTCTGAATCGTCATGTAAATATCTGATATGCAGGATGTATTTTCATTGTTACAAATTGAACATAATGAAAGCATAGTGATTAATCTCAAAAACAATATGTAATTATATATGTGTTTTCCGATGGTCTTAGGCGACCCCTGTGAAAGGGTCGTTGGACCCCCAAAGGGGTCTCGACCCCACAGGTTGAGAACCGCTACTCTAGGTCCTTTTCCAGATCATCCTCATCTCACCCGTTTCCTAGCAACCTGCCCTTGAAAGGACCTGCCCCGGTCCTGGCTGAAACGCTGCTCCCTGCAGCCGGCCTCATTCCCATTCCAGACAAGGGGGCGCTGGCCAGCCTGGAGCAGAAGCTGAAGGAGATCGACGAGGAGTGCAGGGTGGAGGAGAGGAGGCGCGTGGACCTCGAGCTCAGCATCGTGGAGGTGAAGGACAACCTGAAGAAGGCCGAGGCCGGGCCCGTGACGCTGGGCACCACCGTGGACACCTCCCACCTAGAGACCGTGAGCCCCCGAGTGAGTGGCAGGAGCTGTTGGCAGGGCCTCCTGGATGGGGGTGGGGGGCAGCGGGGGCTCATGTCTCCATCCTCCCCCGGCTCAGGCATCACTCTTTTGTCACCACAGCCCAAAGCCGCAGCCCCCACCCCTGCCCCAGACTGTACCCCCGTCAACTCTGCCACGGCGCTCAAGAACAGACCTCTTTCCGTCATGGTCACAGGCAAAGGCACCGTCCTCCAGAAAGCCAAGGTAAGCGGTCACTCCCGGCCCCCTCCAGGGCCCCAGGGGCGGCACCAGACCTGACCTACCAGAGGGGCCTTGGTTCACGGTTCTTACCAGTCAGCCCGAGGACAGTCAGATCCTTGAACCACCCAATTAGCCATAGATTCTAGGGAGACAGACGGGAAGTGGACAGTTTTCAAACCAAAAAAGCCAGTGATTCTAAAGGAGTCCTGCCGTGGCAGCTTAAGCAGCAGATTCAGACAGGTGATGTGATTTGCCTAAAGCCTCCAGCCACCAGGTGTCCAAGGCTCAGGAGGGTGTCGGCTCATTCCTGGGCTTTCCCCTGACGGCCAGACACGAGTGTTGTTAGTCCTTCCCTCGTGTCCAGTGCAGATGTGCCCAGAGTTGCCCGCGCATTCGGCAAACTCCGCAGCACCTGCACCCATGACTACTGAATGCATTGGAGCTACTGCTCCCCTGTGGCCGTGACAGACACACGGACCCCTCCCAGACCCCTTACCGTGCCACAGCCTCAAACATCCCTTAAAGAGGTGCCCCGCACAGTGACACACGCACAGGGTTTGAAACACAGCGGCTGCCTCTATTCCTAATGGGCTCTGTGCACAGGGGCGGGCGGGGGGGGGCGGCCACGGAGCACAGCTAACTTGCCTCTGTTTGGGGGCTGCTGGTATTTGAATGGCGCCCTAGGAATGGGAGAAGAAAGGGACCAGTTAGGACACAAGCGTCATGGCAAGCCTCTCCTGTCCACGTGGACCTTGGCGACAACCCCGCTTGGGCCAGGCCTTCCTTCAAGCAGCGACTCTGTGAGCGGGTGAGTCTGTTTAAAAGGAAAAACAAGGACGGGGGACCGCGAACGGAGTGCTCCGGCTGATGGGAGGCGCGGGCCCTTTGCAGAGAAAGGAACTAGCAGGACCAGAGAGAGAGCTGTGACTTCAGCCAGCGCTGATGCCATCGGTGACGCGGTAACGGAACAGAAAATACTTGGGACCACGCGGAGGCACTGTCCCCACTCAGTTAAGGACTTTTTTAAAAGTGACGCTGTATTATATTTTTAAAAATATGTTTCAAATCCTGTAATTTAGAACAGTGAAGTGTCTTTTGAGATTTAACTGACTTTCGACATTATCGTAGAGAAAAAGAGATTAGTACTTTGTGTTTACAGAGTCCGTCCTGTGGCCATTCTTAAGAGAAGAAGTTATTTAATATAATGCTCTCGTAGTCCCGGTTTTTTTTAAATTGTGCTTAATGTCCGGGCACCTTCCAAGATAATAAAAGGGGTGAGTTTGGGGTGGGCCCCCGTCTTTTCCTCCGATGGCATTGTTTGCTAACGCAGGTTGAAACATTTCATCCGTCATCTCCGCCTCACTTCCGGGGGTTCTCAGAACTAAAGTTCTTTCTAACCCCAGGGCATTTATTTCCTTTGTCATAAACACTTGGTGGCCTTTGGCCAAGTGGTGAGTTAGATTTTTCTAAAAAAATAAAATAAAATGTTAATTGTATTTCTGGAGGTTTCTTGTATTTCATGGAGTGACTTGGCAGGGCCTGTTGGACTTGTACCTCAAGGGGGAATGTCTTGGTTATTTATTTACACACTGAACTTCAAAATATGTGTGTAAAACCGAGGGCTTTACAAGGTGCCATCTTAGCAGGTGATGTTATGCCTCCTTGACTCCAGGAGCATAGATGGAAAACGGAAAGGGTTTTCATAGTATAATTAACCACGCGCCAAATACACTAGAAACATCTGCAGGAACTGACTACTTCTGGAAGCTAAACACATTCCTAAATCATTCTTCGGGGAAAGAAACCGGTACTTAGAGAGTTGCCTAAGTGGTAAATTAAGGAAGTTCCTAGCATACATGTGTTTATTTTTACAAATAACAAAATTTGCCAATCTTTTTATGCAGGACCTTTTTCATGTACGTCCATAAATAAGATTTGGTTTTTCTTTTGCCAGTATGTGTTCGATTTTTGGTTCCAGAGCTGTGCTAACTGTATACAATGGAAAATACTCCTCAAACTGCTATGTTCATCGCATTTTCTTGTGATTCAAGAAAATCTTGTCAGCATGTGTACTCCAGGCTCAGTTGTGCCTTTAACACATTGCGTACCGCATAGAAATCTCTAAGACATACGCCAGGGACCGCACGTTTTGGGGCAAACTGCACGTTATTTAAGTCATCATAATGCACTTTAGGTGTTGTTTTTCAATAATTATAACATTTTTATTTACAAAAACAATTAAACAATTAAAGTTCCTAGTACTTTTTTAACGTATGGTACTGCGTAAAACATTTTCCTCTATGAAGAGGGACCAAACAAAATTTACATAAGTATCTAGATTCGCTCCTTTTTCCATGGGCGTGAAAAAGTCCATAACTCCATGGGCGTGAAACACGAGAACACTCGTGAGCGGTCCTTAACAGATGGCGCGCGAAACACGAGAACACTCCTGAGCGGTACGCAATGTGTTAATGTCGCCTCAGGTTGCCAGGGTTTGGTTTTGTCATCTTTAAGCACATTAATGACCAGATAGCGTTGCTTCAGAATCAAAGTGGTTCAACACTGATAATACACTGATAGGTAAGTTATTGTATGTACAGATTATATGTGGGGGGGAAAATCATCTCGAAGGAAGCAGAAAAGCATATCATAAATCTCAACACTCCTAAAACATTCTCTGTCATCTAGGAATAAAAGCGTTCCTACCCACAAGAAAATAATATCTAATGGTGAAAGAGGAGCAGATATGTGCTGTGGCCACTACCTATTAAAAACATGATTCTGCAGGTTCTAGATAATGCAAAATGACAAGAAAAATCAATATAAAGCTCCCAAAGGAAGAGACAAAACTGTCATTATTTGTAAACAACATTTTTCTAGAAAAGCAAAGAGCATCAATGAACTACTAGAACATACGTGCTTGGGTAAGTTGGCCGGAATGAGGATCATTCAGAGAAAATGAAAGATTGATGGCTTACTGCAATGCTTCGATGTTTACAAGAACATAAAAGGCTTGGCCGGTCAGACAGTAAGAAAGGCATGCCCTCCATTGCTGCTGGGACCTGAACTAGAAGCGGCGAAGCCTTTAATATGTAACCCACAATTTTATGGGGCTTTTTTTAGAGCCCAAGCAACTCAAATTGGACATCCAAATAGCCTTGAACCAGACAAAGAACCCATACTCTAAAGTGATTAAACTGCTGTGAATTTTCGAGACAACAAATTCTTGAAAGCTCTCCAACATCGGCCCCTGCTGGGTAGCCTTGTGGCCTTGCTCTGATCTCCCCTTCCGCCAAGGCCAGCGTAACAACAGGAATGAAAATACCCGTGAGCACAAACCACTGTCGGCACCCCGGGCTTTTTATTTCTACCATCGACAGCACCGTGGCGATGACCAGGAAGCTCAGTGGCATTTAAGTGGAGGCAGCCGTGACCTTTGCATAGAGGGCATTGCATTATCGATAGTAAGGAGAAAAGCTACCATCAAGTATCTGGACTGAGGCGAGGGCTCTGCAACAGTTTCCCCTGAAAACTGAACTCAAAATGACACAACCACAACCGACGGGAAGAACTGGTGCCTAAATAGGCCGGGGTGAGGAAGTGCCTGGTTTACCAGAGAATGTCCCAACGCACGCATCTGTGCCACAACCATACAAACACTCCTGTGAATGACCAACATCATTTCTTGAAATCCTTTAAGAACTACACAGGAAAAAGCAAAACCGTTCTAAGTTTCTTTATTCTCTATCTGTTGAGTTTAAGAATTCCATTGCTCTTTGCACCCCCACTAAAAGGAGAGTAAGAAAAGCACTCGGTAAACACCCCACAGTGACCCCCCCAAGTAAACTCTAAAGGAGAATGTGGCCCCCCCAGAACCAGGGCTGTTTGCACACTCAGCCCCAGAGCCAAACAAGCTGGTTCATCGGTCACTGTCCAATCTGGGCCTTTTCCCCGTCTCCCCCCACACAGAGCCAGTCACCAGAGGTCACAAATGCCGCTCAAGCCCCTTTTCAAACAAAAACCACGAACGCATCTAGGACGTCTTTCGGGAAAGAAGAAGTTCTGCACTTTCTCCATCTCGAAATGCCATCGCTTCGGTGATCCGAACGACATGCTAGTCACTGCCTCCTCTTGAGCATCGCTGTCCCAACATTGGCCAATGGCCGCGTGAGCTGCCCACAGGCCATCAAAAGTCTCCGGGTTCCTGTTTTTCCTCAGGGGGAAGGGGACGGCGACAAGCTCAACGGGGCACAACTAGAAAGGAAATGTTTACTTACACGTCAAGAGTTTCCAACACCATCATTAGCGAGTGAAATCAGCTGCTACCAAGTCCCCGAGAGGCGCTGTCTGCAGCTGGGACATCGCTGCTCCCCGGGTGGCGGGCTCCGGACAGAGCTGGAGGCAGGCGCTCAGAGGACCGTCATGAGGATGCTCCGCCGAGGGCAGGCGTCCTTTCAGCGTCCGGGGTGCCCAGGCCTCCGGAGTTGCCGGGACGGGCTGGGCGGCCGCCCTCCTGCCTTGGGGGCATCTCCTCTCAAGGCCCCTGGGAAGAAGCGAGCCGTGAGGCCATGAGTGTTGGTCCTCACCCTACTAGCAGCCGTGCGGGCCCCCGCATGTCTTGGTTGTGGGTTAAGAACAAGCAGAAGAGGCCAGACCAAAGGTCCTATCTGAGGGCCCTTCAGATTCACTGCCCGCCTTAGGAAGCCCACCTCTGCCCGTGGCCGAGACCCCAAGCTCCAAGGGGAGCCACCTTCTGGTCTCGGGGTTCTAACTTTAAAATCATAACAGGAGCCCCAGGTGGGCCCGCAGTGCTGCCCAGCAGCCCTTCTCTAGGACCTCAGTCTGGTCCCCTCTCTTAGATGGTTACTTCTTTCCGCCAACCTCCTGCACCTCCTCCCCATCCTCACGCTCAGCTGATTCCTCCCACTTCACTGAGCAAATAGAAACATTCAAAAAAGAACTCCCACCAGCTTCCACCGCATCCACCCACCTTCCTGTGTCGGGGCCCACGTCCTCGTCAGCCAGTCACTCCGGGGCTCCTGACCGAGGCCTCCCTCCCCGCCCCATGACTTTGCTCCAGTGTGCTGAGCACCAGCAGGGACACCAGATGCTGTGCTTATGTCCTGTCTCCCCCGCACATGGATGCTCCCACAAGGGCAGGCATTCTCACTGTTCATGTTCCCCACACCCATCGTCCCCAGAACAATACCGGGGATGCAGGAGACCGGAGCTACATGCTGCCTGTGTGAATGAACAAAGGATGCTAGGATTCCTTCCACGGAGCCAACGCCCTCGAGCCTGCCTTCAATGAGCCTCCCAGGGCTCAGCCGGTCTCAGAACACCACCCCCAGCTCACCCACGCGGAGCAAGGACCCACTCACGGTTCTCACAGTGGGGGCCCTCCCAGCCGTCTCGGCACGCGCAGAGGTAACTCCCGTTCCGCAGGACGCAGGTGCCCTCGTGCATGCACGGGCTGGGTTTGCAGAGGTTGACGGGCCGATTGGCTTCTACAAGAAAGAATGTGCCCAGGAGGCCCAGCCTGGGTCAGCCCCAAAGACCCCCTCCTCTAAGGAAGCCCAGAACTGCCGTGAGCCACTCGGGTAGCGCCTTACATGCCTTAGCGCCGATGTGGGCCTGGAAGCCACAGGTCAGCATGTGGGTGGTGCTCCACGCTGCTTGGCTAGGTCAGAGACCCACCTCCACCCAGCTCTCCCACATGCGTAGGGAGACCTTTTCTAGGATGTGCGAGGCTCCTAGCACCGCTTACTATTCTTATAACAGCCACATACTTTTAAAAAGGTGGGAAGGATGGCCTGGTCAGGGTGGCTCAGTGGTTAAGCATCAACCCATGAACCAAGAGGTCACTGGTTCGATTCCTGGGCAGGACACATGCCCGGGTTGCAGGCTCTATCCCCAGTGTGGGGCATGTAGGAGGCAATCTCTCTATCCCTCTGCCTCCCTCTCTATCTCTCTAAAAATCAATCAATAAATTTTAAAAAGGCAGGAAGGACGTCACTGGCAAAAGGAAGCCTTTGAGTCAGGCTGGCCTGGCTGTGCTGGCCCCTCGCTCTGGCATTCACAACCAAGGTCAGTGCCAACCTTGGGAGATCTGTGGGTCGTCTAGCGACGTCTTCTGTTTAAGTGGTGCATGTACACTCTCAAGTTTGGGGTGGGGGTCTGTGTACCCTGAGTATCAAGAGAGGATGGTGTGCCTGCCACGGGACTTAGCACGGACTTAGCACAGAACCCGGCACGTGGGACGCGCCCAGAGGCCCGGAGGAGCCGCGATCCTTGGAAGATGCACCTGGAGGTTCAGGCTGAGGGGCCACCCCTCGGAGGCAGCGCTGAACAGCGCCGATTCGCCCACTCACCTTCACAGAGCCACTCGATGAGCGCGTCCCGGTGGAACCTCAGGTCCGTGTAGGCCGCCACGTGGATCAGGGCGTCCCTGGGGCCCGCGAGCCTCCGCAGAGCCTCGCTCAGGACGGGCCCCACGCCCACCACCAAGACAGAGACGCCATTGTCCCTCAGCTTCTGGGCGGGGACGGCC